TGATGCAAGAAGATCATGAAAAACCAAGTCAACAGCTTGCTAAAGGAGACCCCAAAAAAAATACTGAAGAAAATAACATCTTAAAAAATAGCCTAACCCAAATGGCAAAAGAGGTCCAAAAAGCCAATGCAGAGAATGCCTTAAAAAGCAAAATTGGCCAAATGGGAAAAAAAAGTCCAAAAGTTTACTGAATAAAACTCTTCCTTAAAAATTAGAATGGAACAATTGGAAGCTAGTGACCTTATGAGAAACCAAGACACTGTAAAAGAAATCCAAAAGAATGAAAAAAAAAGAGAAAACAATGTGAAATATGTCATTGCAAAAACAACTGACTTGGAGAATAGATCCAGGAGAAGAATTTAAAAATTATTGGACTATGTGAAAGCCATGATCAAAATAAATAAATAAATAAAAATAAAAGCCTAGACATCATCTTAGGAATCATCTAGGAAAACTGCCTTGATATTTTAGAACTAGAGGGCAAAATAGAAATTGAAAGACTCCACAGATCACCTACTGAAAGAGATCCCCAAAGGAAAGCTCCTGGGAATATCGTAGCCAAATTTCAGAATTCCCAGGTCAAGGAGAAAACATTGCAAGCAGCCAGAAAGAAACAATTCAAGTACTGTGGAAACACAATCAGGATAACACAAGATTTAGCAGCTTCTACATTAAGGGACCAGAGTGCTTAGAATATGATATTCTGGAGGGCAAAGGAGGTAGGATTACAATCAAGAATCACTTACCCAGCAAAACTGAGTATAATCCTTCAGGGTAAAAAGTGGACCTTCAGTGAAATAGCAGACTTTCAAGCATTCTTGATGAAAACACTAGAGCTAATTAGAAAATTTGACTTTCAGATACAAGACTCAGGAGAAACATGAAGAGATAAACAGGAAAGAGAAATTATAAGAGACTTATTAAAGTTGAACTGCTTACATTCTGCATGGAAAGATGATATTTGTAACACATGAGTCCTTTGTCAGTATTAGAGCAGTTGGAGGTGAATATATATACATATATATGTGTGTGTATGTAAATGGATAAATGGATAGATAGATAGATAGACAGATGATACAAGGTAACATGAAAGGGGGATATCTGGAGAATAAAATTAAGGCATGAGAGAGGATTATACTGGGAGAAGAAGAAATGGGGAGGTAGAATGGAGTAAATTATCTCATATAAAACAGACAAGAAAAGGTTTTTACAGCGGAGGGGAAACAGGGGAAGGTGAGAGGGAATGAGTGAATCTTATTCTCATTGGATTTGGCTTGAGTAGAGAATAACATACACATCAATTGGGTATAGAAATCTATCTTACCCTACAGAAAATGGGAGGGAAGGGGACAAGAGAGCAAGAGGATGAGAGAGGGGAGGGCAGATGGAGGAGGGGATAATCAGAAGCAAACACTTCTAAGGAGGGACAGTGTCAAAAAAGGGAATAGAATAAATGGGGGGGTAGGATGAAGGGAAATATACTTAGTTTTTCACAATATGACTACTATGGAAGGGTTTTGCATGACTACACATATATTACTCATATCAATATGCTTGACTTCTCAATGAGGGTGGATGGGGAAGGAGGAAGGGAGAAAATTTGGAACCTAAAATTTTTAAAACAAAAATTTAAAAAAAATGTTTTCACATGCAACTGGGGCATAATATATACATTAAATGGGGCATAGAAATCTATCCTGCCCTACAGGAAAATTGAAGGGGAAAGAGATAAGAGAAGGGGGGAGAGATAGAAGGGAGGGCAGATTAGGGGTATTCAGAATGCATGCCATCTTGGGGTGGAGGGAGGGACAAGATGGGGAGAAAATCCGGAACTCAAAATCTTGTGGAAGTGAATGTTGAAAACTAAAAATAAATTAATTTAAAAATTAAGAAAAAAAATTAAGAAGAAAAAAAGGGTGTATATATGAAAACTAATTGGAAAGCAAAATGCCTTTTTTTCATCTAGGTCAGGCTAGATTCTGTTCTATTGAATATTATAGTATGTCTCCTTATCTTATATGGATTATTACTTCAAGTAGATTAGACATTTACAATTTGTCTGCAATGTACTGAAGTGGTTTTTTATAACCTAAGCGATTTACAAATTATGAATAAAGTTTTGCATGCCCTTATGGGGAAAAGTCACAGAAGCATTTGAAACGATAAAATGTTTTATCAGGGAGGTAGACAACAGATGATGAATACTACTGTAGCTAACTTGCCATATTATTCATGTTCTGATTAAAAAAATACTTAAAATCAATGGTATTAAAACATGAAGTAGCATGGTCTTTTAGAAGAGACAGAATTTCAGAGGGCATTTCAAACCCTTCACTTCACATTTGTAAATAGAAACAAAAGGAAACTGAGGTTCAAAGAGATGAAGGAGGTAGTTAGTGGCAGAGGCAGTGCTAAACCACTGGTCCTAAATCGTTCCTGGCTTATCTATCTACACAACAGCCTTGTCTTTGTTGAGAAGGATATCTTTTGGATATCTTTGACTTGTTAGCCTTTATCATTCAGTGGTTCATAGTATCATCCATGTCGATTTGTGTAGGAAGATGATATTGCACAATTAAAATTATGGTTGCACAAAGAGCAAATACAGTATCAATTTTTAGAGAGCAGGAAAAAAAACCACTTTGGAATCCAATGCTTTGAATACCTTGTGGCTTTTCTACCATAAACCTGAATTAAAATATCAAAGTAACCAGAAGAAATATCTAGGGTGGTGATCAACCCCAGAATATCATCATTTGCCAACGTACTAGAAAACTCATGAATTCTGGGTTGTTTTGTTTTTTTTTTGGTAAAATTGGGGTTATTCACAATTAATGGGTACAAAAGAATGAAATAAATAATGGTAAGAAAGCAAATGTTGGTTTCAGGGAAGTGAAAAGACTACTAGGCCCCAGGACCAGGGCTCTAGCATACTCATTTTTAATGTAAATGCCTGGTTCCCTTGGACAATATGATTTACAAAAAAAAAAAAAAACATGCAAAAGCTTCACTATTAGTAAAAGTTCAAAAAAACAGTTGTCACTTTATTATACTCTAAGGTTTATACAAAACAATGAAGATATGAGGTTTATGACAATAGCTTAATGATTCCTCAAAAGTTCAAAAGAACTCAGAGATCACCAATTTTGAGTCTAATAAAGGGATAAGCGATGCCATTACTGCTGCAGTTACCAATCAAATGATGAATTTTTACCATTTTTTTGATGAACAGAAAATGAGGTGGAAAAAATAAATGTCTCATAGTGAAAGATGAGTATTTGAAGGAAAGCAGATATATTTTGTAATAGCAAATAATTGTAATTAATTTTTCTTTTTATTCCTATCCCTAGTTCTTTTAACATTTTACAATTCTAACATTAATATATTTATACATACATTATGATTTTGGCTTGTATAGAAAATGTTTTTGGTTACTATATATTTCATAAAGTCAATGTTTACATTCTGATATCTTCCTTGAACATATTTATGAATAGCTTTATCTATCACTAATAAGCCATACTCTTCAATGTCCTTATATTTAATTGTGTTCTAGACTATAACTTTTTCTTGATTAACTTCATAGACACTACACCTTCAATGAGATTACTTAGTATAATTGTTTTTATTAAAATTGGATTAAGAATTTTTTAAAAATGTGCTCAAAATTTTATATGTAGTTAACATGAAAACTATTGCTTATTGAGGAACAGAACTTCACTTTTTTGAACTTCAATGTTTGTCATAACAATTTCATGTATGTAGCTGTAGATAAGACTGCTTTACAAATGAACAAAATGAGGGAAAGTGAGGTTCAGTTGTCACATGACTAGCTATAGGGAATTAAAATATTTTATTGGAATATAACCTTTTTAGGCAGTAGTAATGTATACTTAAAATTATATACTGTCTTTTCTGCCATTGTGATTTCTCATTTCTTCTAAGGAAGGTTTACATAGGTCATCTCTTCCTGATATATAATGTAATGTACAGTAGTTAAGAGGGCATGATAACTCTTTCCTTTTAGCTCTGCTAGCATGAGCACGTCATCGAAGCTTTGTGCTCCTCAGTTTCATCACCATTCAAATGAGAGCAACCAGAATATCCACACTATCTTTCACACAAGGTAATAGGTCAACTGATTTGAAAAAAAAAAAAAGTCTTATAAATGTGAGATGAATTTATTATTACAAGCCCAGATCATTAAGATTCCAAATGGCCCAGCTGGTAGGATTAAATGTTAGGAGGTAAGTCAGAAAATCTTCTCCTGTGTAAAGTTTAACTACCTGAATCACAAAGTGATGCAAATACTGACCAAAAATCTATGGTTATATGCATTTCCTTTCAAATCTCTATTCCCTCGTCCCTCTAAATCCTGTGGGTTTTGTATTTTCTTTAGAATAAAGCAAAAGCTTTATGAACCTTTTAAAATTTTGAAAAGGTTTAAAATGTATATATTTCCAAAGCTTGGATAAGTGATTTACAGAGTTCTAAAAAGAATGTGGGCTCTGCTCTCTTGTTCTTTTCTGTTCTATCTTTATATATTCATACAGTCCCTCTGTCCGTGTGTGTATGTAAGTATGGGTACGCATGCTACAGTTATAGGAGTCTCATATTTATTATTTATTTTTTCCACATTTAAGAATCAGAAATAAATTATATTGCTAAATATAATACATTTTAAAAGTATTAAAGACTTTTCATATAATTTGGTTAAATATATTTAGAATAATTTAGAAACCTGAAAATTGTATTGAAGCCTACATAAAGAAATTTTTGGATAAAGCAGATAATAATAACACAAAAGATCTTGTGGCTGTTTTTAGTAAATGGCTTCAGGATAGTGAACCTACAAGGATAATTAAGTAACTAATCAAAAATAAATAAGTTCCTACCCATTTAAAGTATAAAATGGAAACAGAAAAAAGTATATATGAATTTTAAGATTGCTCTTTCATTATTTTCTAAAGTCACTATTTCTTCAGGTTTTTAAGTCTTACCTATTTGATCCATGGCAGCTGCACCCAAAGTAAATTCTGGATCAAAAGCCCTCTCTGAACTTCTGGTTAGGGTTGAATGGGACTGATAAAGTCCCTTCTGTCTTCCATACTCAGTAATTAGTTTATAATGACTATGTATAAAATAAAATATAAAACATATTAAGTCTACATCAACAAAGATAAAAATTATATGCACCAAGTATTGGTGTAACTCAAACCTTACATAATCAGATTATCACCAAAAAAAAAATGCTGTTTTCATAAAGTCTGTAGAGCATAACCAATCATTCAATCTAGATGTGATACACTTAAGAGTCACAATATTATAGAACTGTAAGTTTAGGACTGAAAGGGTCTGTATTTGTCATCTACTCTAATCTCTTTATTTTATAGATTAAGTAACTGAGTCCCAGAGAAGGTAACAGTTGTCCAACATTACACATATAGTGAGAGGCATGATTTGTCCCCAGGTCCTCTGACTCCAAATTGAGCACTGTTTCCCCTGTACCAAACTGCCACTCTATAAATTCTAATGTTGACTATTAATATTTATGATTTATTCTTTTCATTTATCACTCCTTTGAAGGCATCTAAGACATATTGTGATTTTCCCTAAAACTAACTTAGGTCTACTATAACTGAGAGGTGTCAGCAAAGGTTAAAAACCAAACAAACAAAAATTACCTCTCTAAATCAGACACTATAATAAATTACAGAACTTTTGTGAAGATCAAATAATAAAGTGTATGTAAAACATTGGAAAACCTTAAAGAATTATAAAAATGGCAGGTTTCATCATTATTATTTCTGAAATTCTGATCTCAGATTACCTGACTCTACTTTGTACCCTGTCTCTTGCTCATGTCCTCCTAAATTTGGACAACCTAACTTTGCCATTTGCCCAATTTCTTCTTAGTGACTTGAAGTATGCTTGTCAGATGCTTGCTATTTTATGCAACTATGAAAGTCCCTGTCAGTCTCAAGTACACGGGGGAAAAAAACCTTTTAAATGCAATTGTATAAAGATAATTAGAACTATAATGTTAGAACTTACATTGCGCGACCACTGATTGTGGCATGGTCGTAAACTGTCTGTTGAGATTTATCTCGGCAAGAGACATCAACATCATATTGAAGAAGACGACTCACTATGCCTACTGGTTCACCAATGGCAGCATGCATGATGGGTGTCCTATAATAACAAAGAAACAATTTACATTTAAGAATTTAAAAAGTCACATCTAATCAGATTGGAGCATTGCTTATGTGAAGCAGGAAAAATGCAATTAAAAGCAGAAGAAAAGAAAGAAAGAATTTTTTGTCCCCTTAGAGTTTTTTTGGGGATTGTCAAATTTAAGGCTTCATAATAGACAAGTAGACAGTTTGTCAAAGCCTTGTGTGTGCAACAGTTAAGGACTTTCTCCTGGGATCCTACACAGTTTTCATAAGGAGAAAACCAGAATTAAACCAAAAATTTGATCTCCAGTATCAAGATCCAAGAGAAGCATAAACAGGGAAAAAGAGAAAACATAAGGGAATCAGTAGAGCTAAACTGTGTACATCCCTACATGGGAAGATAATACTTTGATTCTTAAAAATCATGTCAATAATAGTACAGCTAGAAGGAAGATACATAGACAGAATTATGAATATAAGGTGAATTTGAGGGAATAACACGAAAATAATTAAGCTATGACAAAGAGGAGTATACTGAATGCAGAAGGAAAGGAGAGATTGAATGTGTTAAATTTGGAGAAGATAAGAGGGTGCCCGATGGCCATTGATTGAACCTTACTGTCATCAATATTGGCACAAAGAAGGAATAATATAGACAATCATTTGAATATAGAAATCTATGTTACTCAACAGGGAAGTAGGAGGGGAGAATATGAAATTAAGGTAGGAGGAGGGCATGGGAGAACTGACAGAAGGGAGGGAAGATCAGGGGAGGTGTTGAACAGAAGTACAACATTAGTGAAGAGGTAAAGGGTTAAAGGAGAGAGAGGACAAACAAGAAGAAAAATAGGATGGAGGGAAATTCTCAGTTAATAATCATATTCATGAATGTAATTGGCATGAACTCTTCATAAAATGGAAGCAGGTAGGAGAATGGATTAAAAACCAGAATACTACAATATGTCATTTGCAAGAAACACATTTGAAACAGAGAAATACACACAGAGCAGAGGTATGAGATTGGAGCATAATACATTATGCTTCAGCTTAAGTGTAAAAGCAGGAGTAGCCATCCTGATCTCAGAAATATTAAAAGCAAAAATAGATCTAATTACAAGACATAAGGAAGGAAACTATATCTTGCTAAAAGATACCACAGACTATGAAGCAATATCAATTCTAAACATATATGTACCAAGTGGTATAGCATCCAAATTCTTAAAAGAGAAGTTAAATGAGTTAGAGAAAGAGATAGACAGCAAAGTTATGCTAGTGGCGGACCTCCACTGCTTCCTCTTAGAACTCAATAAATCCAACCAAAAAATAAACACTCAAGAAACTAAAGAGGTAAATAGATTATTAGAATAGTTAGATATGACAGAGCTCTGGAGAAAACGCAATGGGAACAGAAAGGAATATACCTTTTTCTTGACAGCATATGTTACCTAAGCAAAAAAACTGACCATGTATTATGGCATAAAAACTTCAAAACCAAAAGTAGAAAGGCAGAAATATCACATGTATTCTTTTTAGATTATAATGCAATTAAAGCCACTTTCACCAAAGGGTGCGAGAAAGACAGATTAAATGTTAATTGGAAACTAAATAATCTAATCCTAAACAATAAGCAGGTCAAAGAATAAATCATAGAAACAATCAGTAATTTCATTAAAGAGAATGACAACCATGAGACACCATACTGAAATGGATGTGATACAGCCAGAGCAGTGCTTAGGGGAGAAATTATTTCTCTAAATTTTTACTTCAACAAAACATAAAAAAGATGGATCAATTAATTGCTTTCCCAACTAAAATAAATAAACAAAAGAAAAGGAAACTAGAAAAAATGAATAAAAAATCCCCAACTGAACCAAATACCAAATTCTGAAAATCAAAGGTGAGGTAGTAAGATTAAAAGCAAAAAACAAAGACAAAAACTATTGAGCTAACAAATAAATCTGGAAGCAAGCTTTATGAAAAAAGAAGAAGACAGATAAGCTATTGATTAATTTGATTGAAAAAAAAAGAAAGAAAGAAGAAAAACAAACTACCAGTATCAAAAATGAAAAGAGTGAAATCATCGTCAAGGAAGAAGAAATTAAAGCAATCATTAGGAAATACTTTGCCCAATTATGTGTCAATAAATCTGACAATCTGAGCTAAATCAATGAATATTTTTGAAAATATAAATTACCCAGATTAATAGATCAGGAAACAGAATGCCTAAATAAATCCATCTTAGAAAAAGATACTGAACCAGCCATTAATGAATTCAGTATGAAAAAATCCCCAAGGGCCAGAGTGGTTCACAAGTGAAGTCAATCAAACACTCAGAGAACAATGAATTACTATATGTAAAATATTTGGAAAAATAAGTGGAGTCATAATAAACTCCTTTTATGACAAAAAAATGTGGTACAGATATCTAAAACGTGAAGAGCTAAAAGAGAAAAAGAAAATTGTAGATCAATTTCTCTAGTGAATATCCATGCAAACATTTTGAGCAAAATACTAGGAAGGCAATTGCGACAACTTAGCACAAGGATTATATACTATGACCAGGTGGGATTTGTACCAGGAATGCAGGGTTGGTGCAGTATTAGGAAAACTATAAGCACAACTGACCATATCCATAAAAAACCAACAGATATCATATGAATATCTAAACAAAAGCTGAAAAAGCTTTTGACAAATTACAGTTCAGATTCCTATTAAAAACAATGGAGAGCATAGGAATATAGGGAGCATTCCTTAAAATAATAAGCAGTATCTATCCAAAACCTTCAACAAGCATTATCTATAATAGAGATAAGCTAGAAGCCCTGCCAATAAGATCAAGGTGAAGGAAGAATGCCCATTATCACCACTACTGTTCAATAGTGTACTAGAATTGCTGGCTATAGCAATAAGAGAAGAAAAAGAAATTGAAGGAAATAGAATAGGCAATAGGGAAACAAATTTATCGCTCTTTGCAACTGATATGAGAGTATACTTAGAGAATCCTAGAAAATCAACTGAAAAAGTACATGAAATAATTAACAACTTCAGCAAAATTGCAGGATATAAGATAAACCCAAGTAAATCATCAGGAATTCTTTTTTATGACCAACAAAGCTCAGCAGCAAGAAATAGAAAGAGAAATTCCATTCAAAATAACTGTAAACAATACAAAATACTTGGGAGTCTACCTACCAAGACAAACCCAGGAACTGTATGAACACAATCACAAAATGCTTTTCATACAAATGAAGTCAAATCTGAACAATGGGAAAAATATCAATTGCTCATGGGTAGGCAAAGCCAACATAATAAAAATCACAAGTCTGCCTGAAACCAATTTACTTATTCAGTGCTAATAAAACTGCCAAGAAAAGTATTTGACAGAACTAAAAAAAAAATCACCAAAAATTCATCTGGAAGAAAAAAAGGTCAAAATATGAAGGGAATTAATGGAAAAAAAAGTACAAAGAAAGGTGGCCTAGCAATACCAGATATATAGCAGTAATCATCAAAACTAATCTGGTATGTAAGAAATACAGTGGTGGATCAATGGAATAGATTAGGTACAAAAGACAATAGTCAATGACCACAGGAACCTAGTATTTGATAAACGCAAAGACCCCAGCTTTTGGCAAAAGAGTTCACTATTTCACAAAAACTGATCAGAAAACTCAAAAACAATAAGAAATAAACCAACATCTCACATTGTATCCCAAGATAAGGTCAAAATGGGTGCATGATTTAGACATAAAGGATGACACCAAAAGCAAATTAGAAGAGCGAGGAATCAAGGAATGTGACCTGTCAGATCTATGGGTAAGGGAAGAAGTTATGACCAAATAAGAGATAGAGAGCATTATGAAATGTAAGATAGACTACTTTGATTATATTCAAATAAAAAGCTTTTGTACCAATAAAACGAAGAGTAGAAGGAAAGCAGAAAGCTGGGAAACAATCTTTATAGCAAGTGTCTCTGAAAAAGTTCTCATTTCTCAAATACATACAGAACGAAGTCAAATTTGTAAGAATATAAATCATTCTCCATAATAAACAGTCAAATGATAAGAATAGGCAGTTTTTAGATGAAGAAATCAAAGCGATCCACAGGCATATGAAGAAGTGCTCTAAATCACTTTGGATTAGAGGAATGCAAATTAAAACAACTCTGAGGTGCCACCTCACAATTATCAGATTGGCTGATATGACAAAAAATGAAAATGATCAATGTTTGAGAGGATGTGGAGAACTGGGGACAGTGACACACTGTTGGTAGAGTTGTGAACTGATAAAACCATTCTGGAAAGCAATTAGGAACTATGCCCAAAGGGCAACCAATCTGTGTACACTCTTTGATCCAGTAATACCGCTAATAGTTCTGTATCCCAAAGAGATTATAAAAAACAGAAAAGGACCTACATGTCCAAAAATATTTATAACAACCCTATTAATGGTGGCAAAATATTTGGAATTGAGGGGATGCCCATTACTGAATAAGCTGCTGTGTATGAATATAATGGAATACTATTGTGAGCAGGCAGATTTCAGAAAAACGTGGAAAGACTCGTATGCACTGATCTAAGTGAAATGGATAGAACCAGGAAAACATTGTACACAGTTAGCAGAAACACTATGTGATGATCAACTATGAATGACTCAGCTCGTCTCAGCAGCACAATGATGTGAAATAAGTCAGATCACGAAGAGCTCATGAAGGAAAAAGCTATTCACATCCAGATAAAGAGCTGACGGACTCTGGATGCAGATGGAAGCATAGTTTCTCCTTTACTTTGTTCTTTTTCAAGTTTTTGTCTTTTTGATCTGTTTTCTTCTTTCACAACTATGACTAATATGGAAATATATTGTACATGATAGCACATGTATGATCCATATCAAACTGCTTGCCAGTTTCAGAAGAAGGGAGGGGAGCGAGGGAGGGAAAAAAATTTGGAATTCAAAATTTTGTAAAAATAAAATGCTAACAATTGTCTTGACATGTAAGTGTGGGGAAATACTATTAAAAAAATTAACATTCAGAAGTGAAGGCTCAAAAAGATACCACACACATCTTTTGAAATATCTGCTCAATGAAAAATCTAAAAATCTAATCTATTACTTTTTAATATTCATATATTTTTATTTCCTTAGGAAGCAATCTTTCCCAAATGTTCCCATGTTGGTGTTAACGAAAATAGAAATAATGGTAGTTCTGTTCTATTTCATATCTATGCATTGTCACTCTTCAAATTTCATAAACAAATGCTCTCAGGATGATCTGATTTAGGCTTCATGTCAAACAACCTACAGGTTTATCTTCTCTTCAACTGCTTCATCTTCATCTTCTATCCTCTTCCTCTTCATTTCATTTTGTTTTATTTTATTTTATTTACAAATTATGTTTTAGTGTAAGCTTGAGTTCATCTTAGCCATAATAGCTCTCTTTTTGGCAGAGATTATGTCTCCCAGCTGATGCCGTTTCTGGGCTCTTTTGGCCTTCTCTTTGAGGCAACTCCTTTGCATTAAACTTTTGAGAAATTTCATATGTCCACTGCCTAGCATAGTGCTTAGCATATATAGTGCTCGAATGTGTTAAATTTGGAGAAGATAAGAGGGTGCCCGATGGCCATTGATTGAACCTTACTGTCATCAATATTGGCACAAAGAAGGAATAATATAGACTATCCAGCTTGTTAACTGGATAATAGCTATGTCCATTTCTCATCTGGGGGAGTTGATAGCATGCTTAATCACAAGAGGAAACAGCTGCTATGACTACTGTCTGCTTTTCATCTTTATCCTTTTTTCTCATTTATATTAATTTTGACCTTTATTCTGGACAGTCGATGATCTGAATGAATATAGACAACTAATTCCAAAATTATTCCAACAATTGTAATCAGTCCTATTTGTGTGTTAGGATAATGTCAGGTCCTTGTCTTTTTGTTTTGTTTTGTTTTGTTTTTCAATTTTGGTGATATCAAACAAGTTTCTCACATGCTAATGTTAAAATCATACAAGGCTCAATGACCCATGCCACACAAAGGGATAACTTGGTTCAATGAGTAAGTATCAGCATTAAGCTAGATGTAAATTGTGAGGCATATGCTCACCTAAGGTGTTTCCCAGTGTTACATAGGATGTCCTGGACAGGATCCAAATAGAACAGAGATTGTATATGATGGCAAAGATTTACAAATGCTCCTATTTGTGGATGACATTGTGCTGATTGTATCAAGCCCTGGAACAAAAAGCTCCTTGATGAAATCCAAACTTAGTCAAAATGTATTGGTCTAAGAATCCACCCTGAAAAAGTGAATGAAAAGTAAATATTTCCTAGATTACGTAGAGTTGAAAGGACAGCCCCATCTACTTGGTCAATCTATATCTTTGTAGAGGTGTTTATATGTGTCCTAATACACACGCACACTGCTTGAATGGGTATTGAAGAACAGCAGTGCACTGGGCTCATAATTATTGGGAAAAGGAGATTCAACTGAATTTCATTTAAGAAACTATAAGCACTTACAATGACTCCATTGCCACAGAAGTTCATTGTATAAACACCAATATTCTCTCAAGAATGCTATGTGGCCACAGTGATTTTTTAAAAATCCAAAAACCAAAAATAATCTCAGAAGGATCAAAACTGTAGATAATCTCAAAGGCCATGGAAATATGCATGGTGAGTATAAGGAGTTTCAGGCAATAATGACTTTGATGTAGGAAGTGGTATGAGAGACATTCTTAAAGACATGGATAAACAAAAAAAAAAAAGAGGATGACCTAATCTTGTATTAAAAATAAAAGCCAGAAAGAATTTTCACTGCACTGTTCCTCATGTATTAAAAGAACCAGGAGAAAGCTTCAGTGTGTTTCCTGGATCCTCTATAGTGGATTTATGGAATGACAATGATGAAAATCATGTAGGATAAGAAGGCATGGAAAGATTAAAATATGTACCAGTCGCACAAGTTTCCACAATGATAAGATCATGGGTTCATCAAAGTATTTCATCATATTATTCTTGTATTGGTTTGTATTTCTCAATGTGCATATTCTTAAGGAAAAATCAAAAAAAGGAAGAGGAAAAAACACACACTACAATTCTCATGGGTGACATGAAGATTATTTCATAAAGAGAATCACCTGAAACACCAGAGTACAAAACTTCTTTGGGATAATCTTAACTAACTTAAAATCAAATAAATAAAACTGCAAATAGTAATCACCAATTAACCAAGATTGGCAGGCCTACGTGAACTGCTTTCTCTGTTGCAGTCAAGAATAATAGTTTTTCTTGGACATTTTTCACCCTTTCACAATGATAATCAGTTTTGATTATTGTTGTTCCATGTGTTCCATGGCTTAAGTTGTTCTTATTATTCTAGAAACTTTTCTCTCTTTATTTTATTTCAAGCAGTAATTACTGTACCTTTTAGTGTTATCCGTGGCATTCACATTTGCTCCATTTTTTAAGAAAAAATCTACCATAGCTAGATTATTTTCTCTAATTGCAACCACAAGCGGTGTATAGCCTTCCTGCAAAATCATGTTAAAGATATTGTTACAATATGTAAAAATTCTATATGTATACATCAATTCAGCTTAAGGCATTTTGTGAACATCCTGTGAACTTGCTAACAATTTGTTAAGGAGGTATGGTACGACGGAATTTTGGAGCAAGAAGACCAATCCTGCTTCTGTTAGTTAATTCCTGTGTGATCATAAGCAAATTATTTCACTTCTCTGGGTCTTAGTTTCCTCATATGTAAAATGACAGAATGAAACTAGAGAGCCTCTGGGATTCCTTCCAGCTATAAATTTGTGATCAGTATATAGAGACCCAGGATTTATAGGAGACTGTTCCATATTATTTCAGGAGTATGTTCCTTTCTTGCTATCTTTGTGTCATGAGAACTTATTGTCTGCATGCAGCCAACCTTATTTCCTCAGTACTTTGCCAAGCTAAAGCTATACCATGGTCAATTTTACATTTGCCTACTTCTCTTTACCTACTGCCCTTGAGTGTGTATAAGCAGCCTCAAAACTTAAGAAAATCTTGCCTCAAGGTGATTAAACCTGGAAGAAAGTCATTTTCATTGGCATATTCCCTCTCTTCTCAGCCCTCCTAAAGTATGCTTTATGTTTTTTTTTCTCTCTCAAGTGGCAGTGACTAAGAGTTAAACCTTTTCCTAAAAATCAGGAGTTATTCAGTAACTATAGAAAGGAAAGGGTATATAGTCTTTAGGAAATAGGAAAAAAAACACATACACTTAAGAATTTATTCTTGCAAAAATTCTGTGTCTGTGTATTTTTATACTTAGTAGGAACACATTTTTAAAAAGATTTTAAAAAAACTTATGGCATTTCTACATGACAAATTAACATTGTGTTATCATATGTAAAGGTCTATTTGTAGAAAAAGCATTGTAGGCAAATATTTGGTGGAACCACTGTGTCCTGGGGAGCAGACCTAATGTATCATGCAATCAAAATTCTGGAGAGACAGCTGCGATGGAATGGGCAGAGAGTCAGCCTCGAAGTCAGTAAGACCTAGATTCAAAGCCTGCCACTCACCCACATATACTAGCTGGGTGACCCTGAGGAGTCACTTAACATTTCAGTACCCTAGGACACTGCATAAAGACAGGGTTTCTTAAGTTTTGTTGTATCATGGATTCCTTTCCCGAATAACGTTTTTAAATGCGTAAATATATAGAATGTGAAGGAGGCCAATTACATGAAGACAACTATTAAGTCATTGTTGCTTTTTTAAAGATAATGTATCTTGTGTAACAATCCCTAGTCTAAGATTAAATTGTAGAGCAGGCCCTAGTCTAAACCAGTAGAGGGAGTTTCCTCATTAGGAAGTCCAACGTGAGTAAAATCTCCTCCCTTGTTCGCCCACCCCTCCTCCTCCACCTCCACACTATTAGAAAATTCCAAAGGCCAATGAACGTTGACTACAGAATTATTTTAAGTTATTTTCATTAAAGAAATGCTTCCATGAATATATGAATTACAAAATATGTGAATTGGACACCACCTGATTGCACATTTTAACTCACAAAATAGTTTATTATACAAAAGGTGGGTTTCTACCTTGTTTTTTCCCTCAATGTCCATGTTGTGTTTCAGCAGCTTTGCTGCTATAGCTGTGTTCTGTCCAAAGGCAGCATAGTGAAGTGCCGTGTTGTTGTCGGTGTCCACAAGATTGAGGTCCGCACCATGTTCGAGCAGGGTAGTAGCACACTCCTCATGTTGACACCGTACTGCCTGTCAATATAGTACAGAGAAAGAGACAATTAATGCTCTGAGATAAAAATTTAATATACTAAAACATCATTAATGTTATTTAAATAAGTTAGTAAACCATATTTTCTTTTTAAAAATTTTTAATTTTATTAATTTATTTTGATTTATCAACAATCACTTCCATATACTTTAGAGTTGAAAATATTTCTTCCCCTTCCTCCTCCCCATCCTCCCCAAGACGGCACACAATCTGATATAAGCTTTACGTTTACATTCCTATTAAACATATTTTCACATTAGTGAAGTTGTAAGTAAAAATTAAAACCAATAGGAGGAACCATCAGAAAGCCGAAACAAAACTCAACAGAAGGTAAAAATGAGTGATAGCGATTCGACTTCCATAGTTCTTTCTTTGGACGTGGACAGCATTTTCCATCCCGAGGCCTCTGGAGATGTCTCAGGTCCTTGCAATGCTGAGAAGGATTCAGTATAACAATATTAGTCATCGCATAACGTGGCTGTTATTGTGTACAAAGTCCTCTTGGTTCTCCTTACTTCACTCAGCATCAGACCACATAAGTCTTTCCAGGTTTTTCTGAAGCCTGCCTGTTCATCATTTCTTATAGCACAATAGTATTCCATTACATTCATATACCACAACTTGCTCAGCCATTCCCCAATTGAAGGGCATCCTCTTAATTTCCAATTCTTTGCCACAAAAAGAGCTGTTCTGAATATTTTTGTACACGTGGGTCCTTTTCCCATTTGTTTGATCTCTTTGGGATATAGCCCTAGAAGTGCTATGCTGGATCAAAGGGTATGCACATTTTTGTAGCATAGTTCCAAACTGTTCTCCAAAATGGTTGGATCATTTCACAACTACCCCAACAATGTATTAGTGTTCCAATTTTCCCACATCTCCTGCAACATTTATCATTTTCCTGTTTTGTCATGTTGGTCAATCTGATAGGTGTGATGTGGTACCTCAGAGTTGTTTTGATTTGTAAATCATATTTTCTTAAGCAGAGAGAAATCAAAAAGCATTTCATTGACCAGCATGATTAACTAGTACATACCTTCATCAAAGGTGTTAGATTATCATTGTCCAGCAGGTTTAGATCGCAGTGTCTCTCTACTAAGAGAGCTACAACATCTGGATATCCATTAGCACAGGCCAGGTGTAGAGGTGTCCTACGGAAAGGAGAGAGCTATGTGACTGCTTGATAATATTACAACAATCACAATTTTGCACTTATTAGTTAGTGTGATTTCTAACCTAAAATGCATTATTATTCTTATGCCTAGACTCTAAATCACTGCCAAAATGAATATAAATGGATACTACTGTCACCCAAAGAAATATAAAATATGCATTAGCTCTTTTTGCTCGATATGATGGACAAAATTGCCAGGGGTAAAAACAAAAACAAAAACAGATTAAAAATTCACTACATATTGACATGGGAACTCTGCTCAGTTTCTGACCTCAGTTGGTTCACCTCCCTTTAGGCAAATTGATGGCCTCTCGTACTTTGGGATTCACCATATTGATGCCAGCCTCAATGCAGACATCATTCTGGCATAGCCCACCAGCTGCAAACTCATGAGTTCAAGAGATCTGCCAGCCTCAGTCACACTGGTAGCTGGGATTACCGGTGTGCATCACCCTGCTTGGCTGTTAAGTGTAATAATAACTTCTTTCCACTAAGAGCATCCATAATTACAAAACATTTAGTAAAGCAGCTGCCTCAGAAAAACATTTACATCTTTGCATATTGTGTATTTGTACAAGCACGTGTGCAAATGTGTGTGCATTCTCCACTAAAATCTTACTGCCACGTGACATTGGACAGTGGAAGTGAATCTGTGCTGCTAAAGGCCATCCCAGCAGGGTGCAAGTTTTGGTAGTTCTACCATGATGGCAAGGTTTTGAAGTAAGAGCCTGGTACGTCGCCGCCTTATAATCTCGCCAATTGTGTCTTGCCAAGCCTCAGCCTTGAATCACTGCTGCCTTCTACTGTCTTTCTTCCTATACACTTGCTACTCAATAAAGGTGGAGAAAATCATACAACTGTGTTTACTAGATCTACTATAAATTTATGTTACATAATCTCAACTGGGCTCTCACTGCTGCAAGGCAATCACTTTATATTCTAGCTCCATGGTAAATTCCCTATGCCACTCACCAGAGCAGCTTTTGCAACCTTTTAATCCCTCCTCAAACCTCCCTTGGTTCACTATGTACCTTCTCAACTAAAAATCTTGCCTCATATTTTACAGAAAAAACTGAGGCCATTACCTGAGTCCTCCCTGTTCCTACCTCCTTCTCATCTAACGTACAAATGCCTTCTGCCACTATGTCCTTCTTCAGCCACCTCATAGGAAGAGGTGGCCCTTCTCCTTGCCACTGAGAATGCTTCTACATGTAGAAGTGATACCATTCTATCTTATCTCCTCTAATGGGTTATGCCCTCTATCATTCCTATTCTTATTTATCTTCAATCTTTCCCTGCCTACTAATTACTTCCCTGATAGCCTACATACATTCCCATATCCTCTCCCTCATTCTCAAGAAACATCACTTGATCAATCTGTCCCCACTCTCATCCCACATCTCTCTTGCCATTTGTGGTTAGATGTGAGGAGAAGGCCTTTGACAACAGCTGTCTCCACTTCTTCTCCTGTCATTTTCTTTTAACACTCTACAGTCTGGCTTCCAAACTCTTCAAAGATACTAATGCTCTCTTAATTGCCAAATCTAATGGTCTTTTCTCAATTCTCATCCTTCTCCTCTCTGAAGCCTTTCAAACTAGACCACTCTTCTCCTTGATATTCTCTTCTCTCTAGGTTTTGTAACACTACTCTTTCTTGGTTCTCCTCCTAAGTATCCCATCCTCTCCTCCTTAGTCTCCCTTTCTGATTACCTCCTAGAATGCAAGGACATTCCCCGCTCCCCAAGTTCTTCGTATCTATTGCAGTTAGTTGGGTGCCTGATACATATAGCAGATGCTTAATAAAAGCAGAAATTAATTTTCTGCCTTGGCATTTTTACACTTCACATATCGTGGCCATGTTTCCCCACATGGGACAGGCAACTAGAATGGACAGGAGTGCTGGGCGTGGAGTCAGGAAGACTTATCTTCCTGAGTTCACAACTGGCCTCAGATACCCATGTGACCCCGGGCATGTCACTTAACCCTGTTTGCCTGAATTTCCTTATCCATAAAAGGAGCCGGAGAAAGAAAGGCAAACCATTCTAGTATCTTTGCTAAGAAAATCCCTCAAACACAGTCACGGGTAGTCACACACAACTGAAACGACTCAAAAACTACATTTCACTAGAAGAGAGTAGTATTTTCCCAAGTTGCCATTGAGAAAATATAAGTTGGTTGGACCCTGGCTCAAAGTAAAATGAAGGAGTTTCCCGTTCATTAAAATTGAACAGGCAGGAAGGTGAGGTGACACCACCTTTCCGGACTTACTATCCAATGTCCAGGAGGGAAAGCCTGACCGTGATGGGAGGTGCTGTCCTGTCCCAGCTGCTGAGGGGAACAGCTTTTCCAAGGGTGAGTAAAGACACACAGACGCACAAGGAGGGAGGCGTGGGGGGTGTCTTAGGCTGCCGGGGGGAAGGCTTCACTTCTCTCCCCTCTTCCCACTGCCTCTTACCGATTCATTTTATCTCGATCGTTCACGCCTGACTTCCTCAGCAGCAGCTGGTGCTGCACCTTCGCCACATCCCCAGTGGAGGCAGCTTTGTGGATCTTCTCCAGGTCCTTGGCCCTAATCAGGTATCCTGAATTAGGATCGGATTCTTGGACCCCGCTGTCCCTCCTCCTGAGGGGGAGGAAGTGGATTCACTGTTCGCTTTCTGCGGAAACTGAAAATCTTTTTCATTTTCGCTACTGAACTTCAGAGCCGGTAGGGAGAAATAGGGAGGGGTTTTCTCTTGGCCTTTCAGCCTTCTCAGGGACCTCGCCTCCGCTACAGAGAACTGCAGTGGCCGGAGACTGGAGGTTAAGAGATTCCAGAGCGCGCAACAGTTATAGAAGATTCAAGCCTAGTGACAGTTGTAGCCCTGGCAACGCCTCGAGGCAGACAATTCCGCATACATTTATCAGATCCTCCTGTGTCATGCATGGGCCCAATGGAAAAGTCATGCACAGGTGAGTGCGCATGTGCTGTTCCATTAGCTCTCAGTGGGAGGGGCCCAAAGCTCTAGATCTGAAAGTGGCTGAGCTCCAGGCTGCTTCAGGTGCTCCAGCTTCTTTCCTCTCTCGCGCTGAAAAGGGATGCACAGCAAAGTAGCGGGGATAAGGACGAGGTGTGGCCTAATGGGAAGCGTGCTGGATCTGGATTCAGAGGATTCGGGTTCGAATCCTGGAACCCACTCTGTTACTTGCCTTTGCGAAGATGGAAAAAGTCCTTTTTCTCTCTGAGCCTCAGTTTCTTCTTCTGTCAAATGAAGACGTTGTACTAGATGACCTCCCAAGTGTCTTCCAGCCCTTCATGACTCTGTGAAGCCCAGACTGAAACAAGTGTCATGGGGGTCTGCTCGGTGCCCTGGGACAAATACAGTCTAGGTTCTTCTTTCTTCTGATTATCCCTTCCCCTTTCTTGCTTCCAGGAGGAGGGAGAATGATTTGTATGGGACAGGGAGCCTGGTCCAGGGAGGGTGGAGTTGGCATTAGCCAGGAAGCCCTGGGTTCAAGCCCAGCCTCTGCAGAATTACAATTGCCATATGATGCTGTTATTAAGGGTGGGAAGGAAGGGGTTACAACAGTTCACTGAAAAAACAAAAGATATGTCAGTTTTCATTGATCATAAGTTGCTAAAAAATTTAAACATCCTTAGGCTATAGTAATAGAATAATAATGTTTAAATCCCAAAGGATGATTCCATTTGACTCTGGGCTGAAGAAATGCAGTCCAGTCTATTGTGTTTAATTATGGATGCTACATATTAGGAGGTGATGGGGTACTTGTGCTCGGACCCCAGTCCTTGGAACATCTCTCTCCCCAGCCCAAAGGCCCTAACTCTGGCAGTAATTCATGCGTAGACCCCAGTGAGGCAAACTATCTTTTCCTGTTACAAGAAAAGCTGACCTCTGTAGAATTTTCCTTGTATGAACAAGACTATCTTGTACCAGCAGACTACCATATACAATCCAGAGGTCAAGCTATAGACGTAAATTCCCAACTGCCCAGGCTATCTTATTATAGATGTAGAGGTGTACAGGTAGAGATTCTTTAGAAGTTCTCCTCCCAGGCCACGCCAATAGCGAACGACACCTGTGCCAAAAGGTACAGAAAGTGTATGTTCACCACCTAATTAGCAAACTTGGCACACCACTCACTGAACTTTTCCTATATAAGCTTTAGCATCACTCCTGTTAAGTTGTGAGTTCCCTAAGAAGCTCTGCCTGCCACAATAGTGGTACAATAAACTTTTTGTCCCTGGACTGGAAGACTACTTGAGTTTGTGAATTCTTTACAGATGACTCTGCCCTGAACCAAGTTATTTTGTGGTCCCTGCACCCCTAAAACACATCAGAGGGAGATTGATAAATTCAGAGAGAAGAGATATGGATGAACTAAGAATGATTAAGATAGAGGAGACCACTGGAAGGCATGTCTATTTTCAAATATGTGAAGGGCCATTGTGAAGACCTGGGAGTCTCCAAAACAGATTGCTAAGACCAGTGATGAAAGCAGCCTGTTTTGGGCTGGTATAAGGAAAAATAAACTTTATAGCAATGGAATGGATTGCTTGTGAGACAATTTCCCTCAAGTAGAAGTTGTCTGACCGCAGTGCTCAAACAATTCTTACATTGATTGTAAGGCTGGACGCACGATTTTTAAGGTCCCTTCCAACACAGATATTTGGATTCTCTATATATCATTGATAATGATACTGTTGCAGGATGACACTAGAATAGATCATCAAAGTTGGTTTTGTTTTTAAGGGACATATAATGTAGAGTAGAAGCTAGAAGATTTTTGTTCATTGAAATTAATTCAACCCTCAAGGCATAAGGAAATATCTGCAAAGGGGAATAGAACAGGTTATTCTCAAACTAGCCTTGTTGTTCCCCCACTTTTGCTTCTCTGCTGCTTTCTATTCATGACATGAATTCCTCTTCTCCTTCTCCATCTTCTCCTTCTCCATCTTCTTTAGCTTCTAAAGCTCCTCCTCCTCCTCCTCCTCCTCCTCCTCCTCCTCCTTCTTCTCTTCTTCTTCTTCTTCTTCTTCTTCTTCTTCTTCTTTTCTTCTTCTTCTTCTTCTTCTTCTTCTTTTCTTCTTCTTCTTCTTCTTCTTTTCTCTCTTCTCTTTCTCCATCTTTTCCTCCATCTTCATTAGTTTCCAAAGCCCCTTGTCCATCTTTTCATCCTTCTTCTCTATTTTCTACTTCTTGTACTCCTCCTCCTCTTCCTCTTCCTCCTCCTCCTCCTTCTCCTCCTCCTCTTCCTTCTCCTTCTTTTTCTGTCCAAACAACCAAAATGCAAGTTAATCCTATACATCTTTTGGTTTCTATAGTGGACTGTTTTTGGTGCAGTGTGTAAGTCAGATGATCCATATGTTGTTGGTTTTACTTGTGACATGACTTGTCAACATTTCTTCAAGGAATAGACTCTCTCTGTTCTATCAGCCGTACCTGATATCCTACAGAACCTCAATGCTGTCTCTAAATGGCATAATGATAGGGGCAGCTAGGTGGCACAGAGGATAAAGCACTGGTCCTGGAGTCAGGAGGACTTGAGTTTGAATCTGGCCTCAGACACATAATATTTACTAGCTGTCTGACCCTTGGCAAGTCACTTAGCCTTATTGTCTAGCCAAAAAAAAATAGATGGCATATGATGTTCAATAACATTTTCTATGATATAGTATCGTGACTACATTTGGGCTATGGGTTGGCTAGTTAGAAGTCCTATTTAACAAGTAATAGAATCATTACTTACATATTATAATGTGTACGATTTGTGGATAGAAAATTAGTAATGCATTTTACAATTATTTTCTAACATACATACATATATATATATAAAATACTTATTGGGGAGAGGGCCAATGTGTGTTACCAAAAAAAAAACCTAGCTGATATATATAGGGAAAAAAATATGGAAAATAAATTAAATTTGTTAATGCTTAAAATATACAGGCAAATTATTAATTAAAAGCTTATGCCTTTGGGCAGCTAGGTGGCACAGTGGATAGAACATTGGCCCTGGAGTCTGGAGGACCCAAGTTCAAATCCGGCCTTGGACACACAATACTGACTACTTGTGTCACCGTAGGCATGTCAGTTAACCCTGATTACATCACCTCCCCCCCCCAAAAAAAGCTCATGACTTAATGTCAAATGTTTGGCAGAAACCTGTTATCAAATTTGTGATGTTTAAAAATATTTTCATGAGTTTTTAATGAAGACAAATGAAAATAGACTAGATGAAAGCTAGTTGAAAATGGACAAGTAATTTTTATTATAACTATTATTGGTGATACTAATAGCTCCCCTGTACTTACTATCTTGTGGTTTATCCAGTACTTTACATACTTTATCTCCATTTTTACAATGATCTTGTGAAATAGGCAGTTTCTTTATGGTTATCTCCATTTCATGGCTTGAGACACAGCTAATAAATGACAGGGGCTAGATTTGAACCCAGTTCTTTGGATGCCAAATCTAATAAAGCTATCTGTTATGAAGTTTCTCTTTGGTTTTCCTTTTTAGAGGGCACATTTGTGTAATGTGTGCCGTTTTGCCCATCTCTTTTTGAGACTATATAGATTCTGTCTATATAGGATTTAGTCTACATATATGTATGTGTATATATGTGTGTGTGTATGTATATATATATATGTATGTATGTATGTATGTATGTATGTATGTATGTATGTATGTATGTATGTATGTATGTATGTGAGGTCTTCCCATTGGTTCTCAAGGCAAAACTTAGCTACCTTCCAATTAATGCAAATAATGAATCTTATGAATTAGTCACATTATCTGGATTGCAGTACATGTTTGAATTGGACTGGAATAGACTGCCGTAGTTTACATAATTATAACTTCAAATACTGTGAATGTATGGGACAACTTACGGGAATTCATTATTTATACTAATTAACGCTTATCTGTATACCCACAGTTCTGGCTTAAAAACCAATGGGGAGGGGAGAAGTGGGTGGCGCAGTGGATAGAACACCGGTCCTGAAGTTAGGAGGACCTGAGTGCAAATCTGGCCTTAGATCAAACACTTGACACTTACTAGCTGTGTGAACCTGGGCAAGTCACTTAACCTCAATTGCCTAAAAATAAAATTTTAAAAAAAGGACCAAGAGGAAGCTGAAATCCCTGCCCTCCCCCCTCCCCATTTCCCAAAATGTTCCTGTTTCCTTATGGCTTGCAATCATAAGGATTCTTCAAAACTTCATGGTAGAGTAGAGTAAGGAAACAGTGGAAGCAGTATATCTTCCAGAGTCAATAGGTGATTGAACAGCAACCTCAAAACGGATGAGCCCAGGAGACTTTGTAAGTTTCAAAAGGTCATGAGGCCATTAAAGGTCTGGTTGTAGTATCTTCAAAGTGGTCAGTTATGGTGGCAGCAGCAGCAAGAGTGTGCTAGGACAAAAGGAAGGGTTGCTATTTGAGAAAGAGGAGTCATTGGAAAAGATCTTCCTTGAAGATCTCTGTGTATGTGTCTGTGGGTGTGTTATGCATATAACTATATATATATATATATATATATATATATATACATATATATATATATATATATAACACATATAATATACATGCATGTCTATACTTATACATATATGTATGCACACA